AGGTATACACAGTCACAGACCCACATATTCACGGGCACACAGTCATAGGCACACACAGTCACAGGTACACACAGTTACAGACACACACAGTCAGAGACACACAGTCATAGGCACACACAGTCACAGGTACACACAGGAACAGGCAGACACAGTCACAGGTACACACAGGAACAGGCAGACACAGTTATAAGCATACACAGTCACAGACACACACAGTCACAGGTACACACAGGAACAGGTACACACAGTCACAGGCACACACAGTCACAGGTATACAAAGTCACAGGTACACACAGTCACAGGTACACACAGTCACAGGCACACACAGTCACAGGTACACACAGTCACAGACACATAGTCACAGGCACACAAAGTCACAAGTACACAGTCAGGCACACACAGTCATTTATAAATGGAGGACCACCATGGCCCAGTGCAGCATCCTTTGAAGTTAGAGCAAGCTGAGTTTCACACCTCGCCCCCCTGAGCCCTTCACTTCTCTTCATGGTCACACTAGCTAGCAGTGGGAATGAAGCCCTTTAGCCCTTGGGTTTCCAAGCAGTGTTTACTTTGACATGCTTTCCCATCCCCAGCTGAGGTGTCCATCACACTCTGTCAAGCCCAGCTTGCAGGGCTGCCCTGTCACCCTTTCTGAAGTCTCCTCTGACACTTCAATAAAGACACACAGAGATTAATTCTTCCCAAGCCAGTGTGCAGACCTCGCTAGGCAGGCTTACACCTGTCCTGCAATGGTTTCCAGTTCTTCCTAATTGAAGGGGCAGGAGGCCTTTGAAAATGGGTACTAGGGACCCCATCCTCGGGCTCAGTCTGCTGCTCAAATATCAAACAGAAGAGTTAGACACCTGAGAACCCTGCAGGCTGGTCAGGGTACTATTATGCATATGGAGTGTGAGCCGGGAGCTGGGTCCCTGCTGGGAGAATTAACTTAGCTTTCTCTATCCTTGGGTTCTGTTTCTGCTGAGACTTGGTCTTATTCATTGGCTCACGACTTTGTTCTTGGAACTGTGCCAAAGTCATGGAAGACTACTGTTGAGTTTGGACTACACAGAGTAGATTACCCCCAAATGTAGGGACGTGGGGGGATGTCTGGAGCCTCTCAGACACCCTGCAGGGTAGATACAGATCCTCCCTTGAGGTCAAGAGGGGCTTTTAAGGAGATGAAAGGGGCCACTCTGGTTATGAGAGCCCTGGATCTCAGTGATCAAGCCAGTGCATGTCCTATGAGCAAGGCCCAAATGAGAGTAGATGCTCTTTTCTTTGACTTGCATAATTCCCATGGCTGGGGCCGGAGGGTGAGGCTAGCCACACTCTAGGGGAATGTTGAGCTGAATTCTACACAGCCCACAAAGTCACATGTGAAGGCCCTGCCCATGACTCTCCCAGGCAGTCCCCCAAAATTCTCTTTAAAGGACATGGATGTCTCCCATGGCTACTGACAGGGATGCTACCTGAAGTCTGAGAATTCTGTGTCCCCAAGTGTTACAGAGTCTAATGCTAAGGGTCGGTGGAGGTGGGGACTGTGTGTGTGTGTTGTTGTTGATGTCGGTAGAAGTCTGAAGTCAACATCAAGAGTCTCCTGCAATTACTTGCCACCTTATCTTTTGAGAGAGGGTTTCTCAATGAACCTGTAGCTCATCAATTTGGCCAAATTGGCTTCTCAGTGAAGGCCAGAGATTCTCCTGTATCCACCTTTTCAGTGCTAACATTACATGGTTGGCTTTTCATTTGGGTATCAGGGACTGAATTCAGGCCTACACATTTACCCAGCAAGCACTTTATCTAGTGAGCCATTTCCCCAGTCCCATGGTTCTGTTTTTATAGCTTAGGCTAACTGGAATATTCTGCCAAATGTGTTTACTGTCAGGGTGATCCCAGGTGACATGTCCACACTGATGCCCCCGCATGCACCATGGCCTTTCATCATCTAAGAAGACATTTGCAATCCCTGATGCGGGATTGTATGAGAGCGAATTACAAAGGCGGAACAACCCTGGGGATCTGTGAAAACGGTGTTGCTAGGTTCTGCAAAACTCGCTAATTCAGGGTTCTTAAGATGAGGGGACCCTAGGTTTAGTGAGGATCATGAACCCAATGACAGGTGTCCTTGTAAGAAAAAGGCTGGGGGCCATGTGAAAATGGAGCTAGCTACTGAAGGGTGAGGCTGCAGGCCAAAGAAACTAGGATCATGGGGATGGAAGAACAGGGAGAAATCTGTCCCTGAACCTTTGAGGAACACGAGGCTCCGGGGCTGCCTGGGAGAACCGTGAGGGGACAGGAAGTGCCGGGTTTGTGATGGTGTTATATGGGAAACCAGTACAAGCTTCCTGCATCCCATAGGCGTACTGGATGATGATACACCCTTAACTGGACCACCCCACATGGCCGCTCCTGCACTTTCCCTCACATTCCTCCTTCCGGAGGAGTCTCCTCCCTGTGCCCAATGTCAGCCAGAACACTGTACCCACCTCCTACCAAGACTCAGGAGAGTGGCTTCATAGTCCTCTTGCCAGCATGAGGACTAGTCGCCATGGGTCTCTCTTTCACTCGGCATCCTGCACACACCACTGCCACACATCTGTGCATGCTAACAACCAACATCATCGGCTACTTCGGATGCTGCGAAGGAAGGCCGCACCGAGAAGCTCCTGCAACCTCATACTGAGCATCTGGGTCTATAGGCCAGAGCTTATGTATCTTAGCTTAACCATCAAAATCCTTCACGGGGAAGCGAGCAGGTGACCGATGACATTCCCAGTGTGGTCAAAGATGGACAAGGAGCCAGGAGGCCTGTTACCAAGAGCAGGAATTCTCTCTGCCTCTCCCAGCTGTACAACACAGAGCCTAGGGCCATGGCTAGGCTGGTGTGAGCGCCCAACACAGCTGGATTCACCATTCCAAAGCTGTTCAGGAAGAGAGCTGGAGACCTCCCTTCTGGAGAACAATGGGTAGAGTTCGGTTGGTTCCGGTTGTGCCACCTGTGGCTGCTGGCAACCTCTTGCCCATAGACTGCCATAGACAGCTCATTTGCAGTGTCCCATCAGGGATGATAGTTACTGGAGCTCCAGGCCACATCAGGGAAAAACCCTAGAACCAAACTCTCTGAGAACATGGGAGGATGGGGTCATGCTAACCAGGAATGAAGAGCCGGGGCCATGGCTCCAACACGGAGTCATTTCAACGTGGGACTGCTCTGCTTACAGCTCCTCACCTTCTAGCGCTCTGAGATCTGGGTTCCCAACAATGGGATGCAAGTTGAAGAACCACTCTAGGAATGGGAAGAGCCCATACTCTGAGAGTCTAGAAAGCACAGAGGCCATCAATACTGTTGTATGAAGGCCCACTGAGAAAGCACAGTCACACAGTATCCTGTGGCCCTTGTATGGAAGACTGTTCTCTTGTTCTGATCTACAGACAAGCCCATGAGTAGTTCTGAAATGCCCTCCACAGAGGATATCACAGCATAGGAGCTGGTTTCACTGAGTAAGGAACAAAGGGATGTAGACAAAGGTGAACACCATGGGCAGTAGAGAAAGAGCAGGGTTCAGTTCCTTCATCCTTCTGCACCCCAGCCTTCCCCCTTGAAATTCTTCCACAAGAAGAGAATTTTGCCATTTGCAGCTGGGCATCCAACAGCAAGAGTGAATAACTACGATGAGTTGGTTCTGAGTAGCAAAGCATTAGGCCTCATGTTCCTCTCTCCATGAAGAGAAGACTTTGGGGACAGGGTAAGGGGGAAGAGGGGTGGAGCAAGTGCCATTTGCCTGTAGCGGGTGCTGGGAGCTACACAGAGGTGGAGAAGTAAATGCCCCCACCATGGATCCTAAGGACAAAGCTCAGGGTCAGCTCTCAAACCAACCAGTCAACAATCAGCCACAAACTCAGATGCTACTGGCCAGATGGCCCCACAGCCTCTCACGGTGGCTCCATTCCTTCCAGTCAAAGCCTGTGCAAGCAAGAGCAAGGCTGGAGTCACTGCTGTTGGGTGAAAGGGACATTGTGACCCAGAAAAATTCTCTGACCTGTCCTAGCTGCTCAGGGACGGAAGCTTGAACCATCTCTGTAGTGATGAGGCAAGCAGGCCTGCTTTTCATTCTGCCCAGCTCCTGCACGGCTAGCTTTACACTCGAAATAACAACATACAAATTGTATTCATTTAAACACTGCTTGGCCCATTAGCTCTAGCCTCCTCTTGACTAACTCTCATATCTTGCTTTAACCCATTTCTAATAATCTGTGTAGCACCACAAAGTGATGGCTTACCGGAAAAGATTCAGCATGTCTGACCTGGCGGCTGGCTCCATCGCATCTGACCCAGAGAGGAGAGGCATGGCGATTGCCTAACTTCCCTTCTTCCCAGCATTCTGTTCTGTGTACTCCACCCACCTAAGGGCTGGCCTATCAAATGGCCAAGGCAGTTTCTTTATTAACCAATGAAATCAACACAAAACAGAAGACCCTCCCACATCACATCTCTTCTCCAGAAAGCAGCCTCTTCGAGTTCGGGCTGTATTTCTCTCTGGTCCTCACTGCTGCCCAGGTAAGCATTACACATGGAACCGCCATACCTGTCCATGCCTCTGACACCAACCACAGCCTCTATGCCCCTCCCCAGAGCGATGGCATTGTGCAAAGCACTGAGCTCACTTCTCTAGAGATGGGGGAAGCACCAAGGACTTCTAGTGAACACATCCCCAGATCGTTTCCAGATCCCAGAGGGAATCCATACTTGTGTAGAACCTGCTGTCGCTAGGCCCATTGTTTGTACAGCCCAGAACTGACATCTTGATGTCGTACCCCCTGCCATTTCCATAGATCAAGTCTGATTGTCTCACAGATAAAAACTTCATCATGGCCCTTCATACAAGTGGCCCCTCTGGATCTGGCCTGGCACTGGCCCGTTTACTGCTATCCTGGCATAAATGCCAGGGTGTGGTGCATTTGTTCTCTGCATCTGGATTTGCTGCCAAGGCAAGCGTTACCTGCCGCTTCTGATGAAGCCTTCCCAAGGGTCCCTCGTGGCTCCAGTCCCTCAAGTTGGTGGGGGAGACAGCTTCTTCTTGGCAACCAGGGTGGCTTGCACAGTCGTTTGGCTCTCTGCCAGAAACTTCCTTCATATCTGTGGGGCAGAGCAATGCATACATAGCCATCAGGTAGAACACTGTGTGCCAGGAAAACCAGAGAGGCTCTGAGGGTGGCTGAGAATCTCGGGGCTGCCCTGAGCACCTTCTCACCAGCCACCCCCACTCATCTCTCCTCACCCCTCTCCCAACTCACCTTCTAACCCCAGGATGTGAGGAGAGAAATAGCACAACCCACGAGCCTGTGTGAGATGGGGCTGATGTTTTGTTTTGAAACAAGCTCGAATGGAGCCCAACCTGGCCTTGAACTTTCTGCATCATAGCCGAGGATCGTCTTGCACTTCTGATCCTCCTGCCTCAGCCTTCTGAGTCCTGGGATCACAGGTGAGCACTAGCATGCAATGCCGAGGCCAAAGCCCAGGACTTTGTGTGCGTAAGGAAGGCACTCTACCCAGGAAGGCACATCCCCAGCCTGAGATCATGTTCACGTGCCGTGCTGCCTAGGAACAGCTTGGGGAAATGGCTCTGCAGGTCGATATGGATTTATACGGATGTTAGATTCTGGTCCTTCACTACTCACTAAACACTTTGCTGCAGAGAACTTTGTACAAAGATGTAAATGTTTTGCAGTCAGCAGAGATCCGTATGTTAGCTGCTATCTTCCTGGGGCTACTGAACGGGTCAGCGACAGTTATGTTAAGAGTCGCACACGGTCACTGATGCCACCATAGGTGGTGTTGACAGCCTGCATCTTGGGGTCTACACAGATTCCCCATCAGTGAGCCCCAGCCAGAACATCTGATCTAATGGTCCCCAACACAAAATGTCACTCACAACCCAGAGGGAAGACATGATAAGGATGGAGAAAGAGAAAAGACTGGGAGTTCACTTGCGCTGATTGTCTTGGAAATTTCTCACTCCTCTTGGTGCTGGTGCATGCTCTTTGTAACATGCGCACCGTGTGTCCAGTGAGCAATCTAATGACCTTGTGGCCCTTTCTTCGAATGCAGGTTCACTGTGTTCTACCGACGAGCAGGTACAGCCCTAAATGGACACGCCATCTGGTCTAGCACTCAGAGTTCGCAGGTAAGCAAACTGAGATGAAGGCTTATAGCCACAGGCCTTAAGCTCCTTTGAAAGCTCTTCACCCTGTTTGCAGACACTTATGGGAGCCCCCTCCCTGTGCGGGCTGCAGTTGCCAAGCACTTGACTCCCGTGGAGCTCCACAGACCTTCTGGAGAGGAAGTAACATGCATAGCCGCTCTTCTGCCTCTACTGCTTCTGCAAAGACCCAGGCACCTGAGCGAGTCACAGGGGCTGCCTGCAGGATTTCAATACGGCTTGAAGAGCACAGAATCCCCCAGATGTTGCCTTTTTCTGGCACCAACAATAAGAAAGTGGTTTTCTGTTTATCTTTCCAGGTGTCTACATTTGAGGAAAAAAAAAAAAAACTTGCTTTTCCTGTTTGGATCAGGAGTTGTGGCTCCTAAGGGTTGGAGTCAGGGTACCTGGAACAGGAACTGTGGCCCCTGGGTTTGGGGTGGGGGTACCTGGCTCCTTCCCTGAAGCCTCTGTCTCATTTGTCCAGGCCACAAGCTCCTTAAAGAGCCATCAGGGGAGGGAGGACAGGCTGCTACTCACTCATCATAAACCGCCCCCCCCCAACCCACTGGAGCTCCTGCAGTGTGATTTCAAAGCGCACAGACAAAAGAAGGAAGGGAAGTGGGACTTGTGGGAAATGTCTGCCAGCGAGTGTGCAGGGTCACCTTTGCCCTCGAGACCACGGTAACCGCTGCGGGCTTGCAGGCGTGAAGAATGGCACATGACCTGAACCTTGGGGACGTCATTCCATCCAAGTTGTTAGGGGGTCTGTCAGGAGAGTTCCTGGTCCCTGAGGCCATCTTACCAAAGTGGGGCCTGGATGTTGTCTTTCTTAAGGAGCGCCCACGTGGACTCTGCGGCTGCTGTGGGCTGGGGTGTTCCTATCTCTCTGCGATCCTCTCAGAGGGGTCTTTGTCTGCAGTCCTCAAGCAGCTGCATTCAGAAAATGAGCCTGGTGGGGCAGTTCTTCAGGGACCCCCAAGGCATGTAGGCGCTATGAGGCAACATCCAACTGTTCTCCCTGAGGCTACACATCTCTGCCTGCCCCCCCCCCCATTGGAGTGGGGACATGCATATCCTTGGGTCAGGGGGGACTCACTTGCTTATGAATGCCTGGGAAACCTCCCATCTCACTTCCATTCCCTTGCAGCAGGGACCTGGTCATGTTGGATGAGACCGTCCAGTTACACACCCACCTCTAGGACAATCCCTCTCTAGAGGGTCTGGGGGCCCAGGCTGAGGCCCCCATTCCATTACAACACAGCTGCACTCCCTTCTCCCTGCCCTCACCTGCCCTCCTAAGAGCTCACCCTCCCCAGTCGCTTACCCTCAAACCCTCACCTCGGGCTCCACTTTCTAAGAAACACTCAGGTGTTGGATGTGAGTGGCCTCCTTCTCAAAATGCTTGCTTTGGTCTGAAGGACTTTGAGCAGGCCCATGACCGATACTAAGTACATGTCAACTTCGTACGTGACGCTAGACCTGTCCCTTCTCATTTCTCTTTCTCAGGGCTGAGTTTAAGATCACCTCCATTTTCCAAGGTCATGTCTAATTTACCACACTGGGCTGATCCATTTTCTCGTTTATATTTTTAAAAGGAAGCCCCTGGAGATTCGGGTTTTGAGCTGGGCTCTTGGGCTCCATGCAAGCTTCTCTATTCTTTGGGTTCTCTTTATGGATTTCATGATACGTTTATTCCTGGTCTTATGGAGACCAGTCACTGTAAGCATTTCTTGCCCAGGTCAGTCCAACAGGAACTTCTGAAGACTGCTAGGTTAAGGTATTGAGCTAAGGGGCTTCTGTGTGAACTGGAAAGTGGAGGATTGAGATTATTGTCGTGAATCTTGACAGTGGTTGAAGTGTATTAACCCCTTGTTGCTTTAAACACTGCTGTGTGCTTAGGTATCTAAGGACAACTGGCAGATGGCTGTAGAGACCAGCGTCACATGAGTTCACCCACTCAAATAGCACGCTCCAGCCCATCTTTTGTGTCTCCCAGCTCCTCTCACAGCCCCGAGGACACAGCAAAGCAAAGAGGAGAAGCAGAGAGAGAGCAGATTCAAAGCTCTGGTCCTGTGGGTGACCTGTCACAAGCTCTCAGACACGCATTGCAGCAGAGGTCATATGAGCTCAGGACCACCACTGACCAACCTGCCTCTATCCTTATCCTCACAGATTCCTCTAACTGAAAAAATCGCATAATGACAGAACAGCCCCACAGCCCTACACAGGAACCGTAAATAAGAAAGACCCTCACGATGAATAAAATCCTGTCCTAGGGGCCTGAGGTGAACCCCACTCCTTCAGGGGAGTGTGTGCCTGGTAGAACTGCCCTTCTCCTGCATGGCCTCACTTGGGGCTATCTAAGCTGCATTTGCCGGAAGCTTCCTCAGCCAAGTCTCTCAGCACTTCAACTTTGTACACAGCCACGAATTAATCAATAAAACCCAATTCTATGGTTCAGTGATTGTTGTGGGCCTGGCGCAGATGGATTCTGAGAACTTCGTGAGTCTCTGGGCCTCGAGTTAACACAAGAGTAATTAGGCATGCAAGCATGAAGTTTCTACGTGTTTTCACTGCTTCTCTCAAGATGGACCCCCGTGTTTTAGACACGTGGGGTAGCTAACATGTGTAGCTTTATTAATGAAACAGCAATTTTCATTATAGTGTTGAGAGGGAGAGAGAGAGAGAGAGAGAGAGAGAGAGAGAGAGAGAGAGGAGAAACAGAATGGAAAGCCCTGAGATGAACTTCAAGTATAAACAGGGAGCTAAAACCAGCAAACAGATGTGGGACCCTGGACTGATAGATAGGTCTGAGAGGTTTCTATGTAAATCCCACATAATGCTTTAGAGTTTTCCAATCAAATAAAATCTCTATCTGTGAAATATGTGAGCAATATATAAGCAAATATGTAGTTTCAAAAATATGAAGTCATACCCAGTTGCTAAAACAAATAAAAAATCATATTTGATCCATGCTCCCTGGTTGGCTAGGTCACAAACCAAATCCTTCCATAGATATGAGTGCATATATTTATATATATTAAAAAATATCAGAGGAAATCTTCATATGCTCCCGACATTAGGAGACTGAGAGTGACGGAAGGCTTTTTAACACATTGCTGAAGAAAAGGCGGCCTGTGGATCTATGAAAATGTGTAACTTCTAACACAGCATCCCAATTCTCAGGAGCTCAGGCAAGAGGATCAAAGGTTTGAGAGCTGCTTGGTCACGTTACCGAAATCACAGCTTAAAAAATAATAAGAACAAAAACAAACTCTTTCTGTTTGTTTTCTCAAGACAGGGTTTCTCTGTGCAACACCATGGCTGTCCTGGAACTCTCTCTGTAGGCCAGGCTGGCCTCAAACTCACAAGAGATCCACTTGCCTTCCAAGTGCTGGGATTAAAGGTGTGTGCCACCATGCCGGCAAAAACAACTTCTTCTGATGAGGCACAGCAAATTAAATGACCTGACCTAACCCTCTGATTCCATCACAGCTCTCCTTATACTGAAAATACAACTCAGTTGTTCTTTTTTTAATGATTTATTTTGTATTTTATTACTCTGGTGTTTCATCTGCGTGCATGTCTGCATGAGGGTGTCAGATCCCCTGTAACTGGAGTTACAGACAGTTGTGAGCTGCCACGTGGGTGCTGGGAATTGAACCCAGGTCCGTCTGGAAGAGTAGTCAGTACTCATAACCACTGATTCATCTCTCCAGCCTCAATTAAGTTGTTCTTAAAAATTAAATATACTTAAACGTACTGATAGTCTGATTGAAGTTGCAAAGCAGCTAACATTCACAAGAAAGAAAACCTGGGCGGGTAAGATTGTTTTCTTCTTGGTGGTTTTGCCAGACCAGGTGAATTCTATATTCCCTGTCTTAGGTGGGACAGGATCCTAGTGGAAGTCATGGGACGGTTTCTGTTACTGTAGAGACCTGAGGCCACAGCAGGCCACGTAACCACCACGGATGACTGAGAAGTGAGTGTTCCCACAGGAGCCGGGAGAAATCCCTCATCAGTCATAAAGAGAAGACACCTTCCTTGACCCCTAGGGACTGAGACCAGGAAAACCGTCAGTCCAGTTCTTCACTTATCCCAGAATCTGACAGGTACTTAGCAGAAGTCACCGGCTCTTACCACTAACTCAGTCTTAAAATGGTGATCCTGCCTCCACTAATTCTCAGAATGGGACTGTACCTGAGAGCGATCTCCTCCTGTCTTCTATTCCTCTCTAGTGTTGGGATTAAAGGCGTGCACCACCACTGTCTGGCCTGCATGGCTGACTAGTCTGGCTGCTTTGCACTCATCTTCAGGCAAGCTTTATCTATTAAAAAACAAATAATACACAACTATATGGACATGATGGTTAGTTTAAACTGGCAACTCAACACTACCTAAAACAACCTTGGAAGAGACTCGTGATGGATTCTCAAGATCAGATTGCCCCAGAAATGTGTCCCTGGGGGTTTGTCTTGGTTGTGTTCAGTGATGGGAGAAGACCAAGCCCACTGCGGGCAGCAGCATTCCCCAGGCAGGGGATCCTGAACTGTGTAAGAGTGGAGAAGTCAAGGTAAGCACGAGCCAGCAAGCAAGCGAGTGAATATGCAATGTGAGCATGCATGTGAGTGTGCATGTGAGCGTGCATGTGAGCATGCATGTGAGCGTGCATGTGAGAGTGCGTGCATGCATGCATTTCTTTCTGCTCTTGACTGTGGACAGGACATGACCGCTGCTTCAAGCTGCTGCAGCCCTGGTTCCCCTGCTGTGAGGGACTGTACTCTGGGTTTGTGAGGTGGGATAAACTTTCTCCCCTGTGCTGATTTCTGTCACCTTCTTTTTATCCTGCTTGAGGATAGCAACATAAGTGACACCCAGTGAGAGGATAACTCCCAGAACAACTGAGGTGACTGGGAAAACCAACCTCAGAGAAGAGCAGCAGGCAGACCGAGAGTGTGAGCTTGTTTCTCTCACCGTCTAGAACAAGATAATATACAAGGACAGAAAGCACACTCAAGGTCACTGGGAGCAGGAGGGACAGAATGCACAGAAGAGAGAGATTGCCAAGAGATGGTGGAAACATCGGGTGTGACTATCTGTCTGTGATCTTAGCTCTACTATGGGTGTCACAAGTATATATGTCAAAATTATTTAAATTATATGCCCTAAAGATGTGCAATTAATTAAACTCAATTATATTTCAGTAAAGTTTCAACAAAGAAGTTCTTTAATGAATTAAGAAAATTAGCAAATTTTTAGTGATACCCCTGAACAGTGCATCCATGTATGGCACAGACAGGCCAAAGTTATTAAAGGTAGAAGACATGCAAGGCAGGCCTAGTGGTACCCTCTCTAAGCCCACACTCAGGAAGCTGAGACAGGAGGATGACCAGTGTAGGCCAGCCTGGGCTACACAATGTGACCCTGTTTCAAAAAAGGGGAAAATGTGGAGAGATGGTTCAGTTGGCAAAGTGCTTGCTGCATTAGCATGAAGACTTGAGCCATATATACAGGAACAAAAACTAAATAGACTTGGAGGCATGCACTTGTAATCCCAGCACTGAGGAAGCAGACGTAAGCAGATTCCAGGGCAAGATATAGGCCAATGAGAGACTCGGCCTCAAAAATAAACAAAAAAAGTGAACCAGAGAACAAACCTGAGATTGCTCCCCAGCCTTCATATCTACACACACACATCACCATACACAAGAACATGCTCACATGTGTGTACATGCATGCACAAAACTGGAAGAGAAAGTCTAAGATACATTACTTTCATGTTGTCAGAAAGAGAGGGGCAAGTGGAATGGAAACTATGCTTGAAAAATGATGGTGGAGAGTCTAGGAAGATCATCAAAGCCTGTCTGGTGGGTATGCAGAAAGCAGCATCTAACTTCAAGCATCACAATACAATGATGGACTACAAACACTAAAGGAAGCGTTTTGACAGTGGCCGGACATTCCATGGACAGAGGAGCAGCTAGCAGTGGACTTCTCAATCCAAAGTGGAAACTAAAGATGTCAGATTGGGGGCTGGAGAGATGGCTCAGAGGTTAAGAGCAGTGACTGCTCTTCCAGAGGTCCTGAGTTCAATTCCCAGCAACTACATGATGCCTCACAACCATCTGTAATGAGATCTGGCGCCCTCTTCTGGTGTGTGGGAAGTTGTACACATAATAAATAAAAAAAAATAACAAAAGTTTTTTAAAAAAAAAAAAGATGTCAGATTGACATCCTGAGAGAAAAGGTGTGTTTATCTAGAACCCTGAGGGCAGAAGAAATCTCTCCCATCACCCGGATGAAATGCACCTATTTCTTTTTGTTTGTTGTTTATTTTTGCTTTTTTATTTTATTTTATTTTTTTATTTTTTGAGACAGGGTTTCTCTGTGTAACAGCCCTAGCTGTCCTGGAACTCACTCTGTAGATCAGGATGTTCTAGAACTCACAAAGATCCATCTGCCTCTGCCTCCTGAGTGCTGGGATTAAAGGCGTGCGCCACCACAGCCTGGCAAACATTTTTAAATGATTTTTTTCTTATTTTATGTGCATTTGTGTTTTAGCTGCATGTATGACTGTGTGACAAAATCAGATCCCCTGGAACTGGAGTTGCAGACAGCTGTGAGTTCCATGTGGATGCTGGGAATTGAACCTGGGTCCTCTGGAAGAACAGCCAGTGCTCTTAACTGATGAGCCATCTCTCCAGCCTGAAATGCAGCTATTTCAAACTAATAACAAAAAGGGTAGGCTTCTTTTCTCCTGGAATTCTGAACAATGTGCTTTGGGAAGAAGAAAATGCAAGAAGAATGGTTCAAAATGAATCAAGGGATTAAAAAGGTAGTATGTGGCAATTCCATAGGCTAAATAAATAAATGGGCTTTAAAAATTAGATGCTAGACAGAAGAATGCATACATGACTTTTAACATGTAAGAATCTATATAATATATATACTCTCACAGGCTCCTATAAATTATATTCATCATTTAAACGATTAAAAACAACCAACATTAACAAGCATTAAAAACAAGCATAACAAAGGCCAGATTCACTCACAGAATGTAACACCTCATAGCAAATGTCAGAAAAATGGTAGGTAAGTAGGTAGGTTTGTAGTTAGAATGAAAACAAGGAAGGAAGGAAGATGATACATAGATGAGATAGATGATTGATAGATAAATGGCTGAATGGATAAATAGATGAGATAAAAAGCCTGACACTATATGGATGGATGGGTGGATGGATGAACGGATGGATGGATGATGATTGATATACACATGGGTAGATAGGTAGATAGATGGATGGATGAACAGATGAACAGTTACTATTCCAGTGTATGTCTGCCTGCTTGTTATCATACTCCCCACCAAGATAGTCATTGACCCTAACTCTCTGGAGCCATCTTATAAGCTGCCTTAGTCATGATGTTTATCAAACAATTGAAAAGTAGCTAAGACAAGGCCCTTTCTCAGAACTTCCTTGCTCCTCTTTGCCCCAACTCTATATGTCCATCTTTAAGATGCTTATATAGTAGTTCCCTGATAGAGATGCCCTCTTTTGACTCCCACAAGGTCAAATATTAAGGTCTTCAAAATACAAGTGTCTGTGGGAGTAGGCATATAACACAGCTGAGAAACATAGATGAAAATCCAATGCTGGAGAAAGACAGGAACTGAGACATTCATAATGCACAGCTCTCACCCTACCAGAATGTCTACTACTCCTCTCTGACCACCTATGGCCACTCAAGAAGGCAAATCACATGTCCTCAGAACTTTTAATAACTTGGGAGGAATGAGAGATACAGTGTGAAATCTGACTTTTATGATGTGGCTGTAATTTTTATGTAGTCCTCTATTGTCCTAAGAGCTGCTGCTGAGCTCTTAAGGCCTCCTAAAAGATGTCCTCCATCTTGTCTAGAAGACAGTGCCTCTGAATGTTCAGAGGATTATCCCCAAGTCTTGATATTGTTGAGAGATTCTCTTTGCTTCCCTGGATTTTTAATTTTTTTCTCAAAAGACACATTTGTTTGCAAATACTAAAAATGTGTTAAAAGCAATAATTAGCACATTCTTTCTCAGGACTAAAATTAGATAGACATATTTTTCAACCTGGTTATCTCAAATATTTACTATGTTCCTGTCTTAGAAAGACAGCAGTAAATAATTAAATGATCAGTGGGATCATGCTGGGTAGGCTATGGGTAACAGAGGCAGATCTGAAGCCACAGAACTCCAGACCAATGGAATAGGAGCCTCCCTCTGGGGGTGGGGGCTGCCATTCGAATGCCACATTCAGTTCCTGGGTTCCTGATATCATGCCAGCATGGAAGGGGAAGAGGAAGCCACATATCTTACCTCTTGGAATAAAGCCTCAGTTTCTTCTTCTTGCTGATCTCATGAGATATCTTCACCCTCCTATGGCACAGTCCTTTCGTCCGCTGTGGACTAGACACCTGGTCCTGGGCCCTCGTTCCTGAGACTGTTGGGTGGGGAAGCTGAAAATACCAGGCATGTTGTCATTGTGCCATTCAAAGCCCTCATTTTGGGGACACCATGATGAGTTCTCTCTCTAGAGACAAGATGCTTATCTATGGAAATTAAGGCACTAAAATGTTGTAGTACCAAATGGCCTGAACCTGTAAGACATTCTTACCAGGCAACTAGTCGTATGCCACAATGGAACCTTCCAGAACCATGGCTAGACTGGACCTCCAGTGGAAATACTGGACCTTTGATGTGAGTGGAAAGTTACCTAGTGCCATAGTCCACATCACCCACCTCAGCCAGCAATCCCCACAATTTGGAGAGAGGAGATTTAAACCAGACCTTGAGTCCCCACCTCCAGCCCCTGGAGATTACTTGCAAGTCTTGGGTCCCATCCTTGTCTTTGTTCCATAAAGTCCTGTTAGGACTGAGGCCTCAATGCTTCTGTCAACTCCCAACCCAACCTAACAGGATAAAAACTTTGGTGCTGTCAGATAGGGCCATAAACTCATGGCTTAATTCCCTGGTAAGACTGTCCTTGAACTTTTATCACTTTCTCCTTCTTATCATTGTTCCTAAAAACCTCAGAGTTAGGTCTGAGTCTGGTTACTGTGATTATAGAGGAGCCATTTCTCCAGCACACCCGAGATAAGGAGCTTCTCCATTTAAGAGTTTTACTTATTTTGTTCCGTTTTGATTCTGCTTTGGATTTCTGTCTGGAGTGTTCTGTCAACATGAGTTTTCAGTTCCTGGAGAGATGGTTCAGTGGTTAAGAGCCCTTGCTGCTCCTGTAAAGAACCCAGATTTGAGTCCCAGCACCAACATCAAGGAGCTCACAACTGCTGGCAACTCTAGCTCAGAGGAACTGATGACCTGTGAATCACCTACCCCACATACATAACTGAAAATAAAATTTCTTTTTAAAATATAGTTTTGATTCTTAGATGACCTAGAGAGTTGTGTGCAGGCAGTATGATTGATTTATTTTTGTTTTTTATTTTTTATTTTTGCCTGTTACTAGGAATAGAAAAGATGAAATTCTATGTCTAATTGCAAATATCTTATCTGGATGCTGTGTGTGTGTGCGTGCACACATGTAGAGTCCAGAGAACAACAGTCTTGGGTATCTTCTCTCAAGGGTCAACCAGCTTTGTTTTGGGTCTCTCGCTGGCCTGGACTCACAGCTGAGGCTAATCTAAGCCAGCCTCAGTGATCTCCTGTCTCTACTTCCCAGTGCTGGGATTGGAGATGCCTGCCATCACACCGGGTCCTCAAACTTGTAAAGCAAGCACTTTGATTCAGCCATGACCCAGACCCTAGTACAACAGCTCTTTGCCATTTTATTTTTGTGAATTTATTTAGTTTTGTTCCTATCTAGGACCCTTACTTCTTCCCGCTCCACATATGGCAGCCCTAGTCTCCTTGGGGGACAGAAATTATCACGATGGTGGTAATATCCACAGGGAGAGATCCATTAGCTCTCTCTCTCCCTCCCTACTTACCCCTTCTTTCCCTCCCCTTCTCCATGTCTCACTCTCAGGCTGCCCAAGTACCCAGCCCTCCCCAGTGTTACCTCAGGTGCCTGCGTGGTCCCTCCTCCTCCTTGGCTTGTCTTGGTCCTTCCTCCACTGCTCTTGGGAGGCAGCACTCTGCAGGAGGCTCTACCCTGGAGGCTCCCATCAGGTGAGTGTGAAGCCAGGTCCCTGGGAGCTGCTCTCTGCTGTTCTGCAGGCAGGGCTAGGCTGCTATTCAAGCAGCACCAGGTGAGTTGGGGCTCCGCCTTAAGTGAGGGGAAGGAGCTTGGGGCTTCACAGCTTTTGGGGGTCCCTACGTGGTGTGACAAGTCCAGTTTCTGCTGGCCCAGGGGTAAACCCGGGGGCCTTGTGAAAGACGTGAAGAAATAATGTGCTTGCGAGGGAAAACAGGCGGGCAGCCGTTCCTTAGTCTCTGAAGAAGGACATTCTAGGGCATTCTTAGGTGGCCCCAGTTTCTGGGACGATGTCCAAGGGTTCAAAAGATTGTCGTATACTCTAGCTTTTGCTGGTGGGCTGTCTATGCAAAGGCAATAGATGGCACGGGTCTCATTCACTACACCCTTGGTCACATGAGTGTCACACGTGTGAGCAGGCAGGACGGAAGCTGTCTCCTGGGTGGTGCCGGTGTTGGGGTCAGAGGACAGTTCAGCTGTGGGGATGTTGCTATTGGTCCTGTCTCTTTTCTCTCTTCCCGTCTGTGTTTCTTCTCTTCCATCCATTGACCTGGACCAGCTAGGGTCCTCTGGGATACCACCTGCCTCAGCTGGGCCTGAGGATGCTCTAGGTGGCCCATTCACTCCCAATTCTGATTCAGCAAGAAGGGCCTGTTCTTCAGGCTGTGCACTTGTACACAGAGAGTCTGGACCTTTCCCAGGCCCTGGAGCAACCTGTGATGAGGGCTTCTCTCCCTGAGGTAACCTGAGCAGGTACTTGGGAGCAAAGGAGCCACTTGACACAGCAGCAGGGATGCCAGGATCCTGGAGCTGGGCAGGCAGCAGGGAGTGGAGCCCAGGAGTCTTAGGTACAGAAGGCAATGTGGGATCCTTGTCCCCTAGCCCTGGCCACCTCAAGGCAACAGCAGCAACAGCTGAGGAGGCATTAGAAGACTCCAGGGCCATTGTCGCATGCTGGATACCCTCATTTGAGCTGTCCAGGACCTCCTCAGAGGTACTGTCCTGTTTCTGGGGTGGCTGGGAGTCAGCCCACACAGAGCTACCCAAGGGCTCAGCTTCCAGAGGCCCTGGTTGCTCCTGGTGGTCCAGCCCCTCCACTTTCAGTCTCTTTCTCTCTGAGGGTAACTTGTCTTCTACAAGTTGGAGGCCCACAGACCCACCACTGAGCCGTCTGAGGAGAGTTTGGTCTCCAGGGCAGGTTTCTTTTGTAACTTCCCCACTGTGGTCTGGCAAAGCCACCCCAGGGGCTTTTAAGTCTCTTTCTTGGAGATGCACAAGCTCTGGAGGCAACTGGCTTCCCAGGTCTGATTTCCCATGCGGAGAGAGCAGAGGACTCTTACTGTTCAGACAAAGGGCGTCTGTGCTGCCAAGGGTGGGAGACGACTTGGCTCTGGCCACTGCCTTCAGTTGCTTAGGAAACTCGGTCTCCAATGAGCCTTCCAGGGACGGCCAACTTCCCAGAGGTCCTGGCTTTGCCCCTACTGCAGCGTCCCCAAGGACAGGGACCCTATTGTCCTGAGACAGGCCTGCACCCTCAGCCCCTACCACTTCTTCCTGGGAGGGTAGGTCCAGTTCCGACCCCTGGCCCTGCTTCACGTCCCTGTGTTTCTGTCCTCCCTGGTGGCTGGTCTTCATTTTCTGGTATATTCTCTTGAACGTCTCATTCCCGTACACCTGCCATTTCTCCTGAGAGAACATCTTTTGTTTCTTCTGGCCGTACTTCTTACTGGCCCTGCCCCTGCATGCCATCCCCTCCTTTACCACAGATCTCTTTCCATCTGGGTCTTCGGCAACAGCTGAGGGGTCTCCAGTAGGGGTGCAGGGCAGATCCTCCACGGCAGCCTGCCTCACCAGGGCCCGAGGGTGACCACTGGGGATGCCTGTCAAGGTCAGTCCTGGGTGGTCCCCCAGCCGGGTTGGGGTGAGCCTGGGGCTCAGGGACTTCTGCATCAAAGGGAAGGCATCCTGCGGGTCCCGTGACTCTGGCCACAACTTAGAACCCTCAATGAAAGGCAGCGAGTTGCTTCTGGTGACAGGGACACACTCCACCGTGGTGGAGAGCTGGGTGGGAACAGAGTGGAAGAAGAGGGGTCTGGTCTTCTCCAGGGGCGTGAAGGTAGAGCGAGCTGGGCTGAGGGCAGCCCTCCTGCGGTTGGGCTCCAGTGCCCGGATGTCAAAGTGGAAGGAATCCTTGTAGGTATAAGGCATGGGCAGATCAATGCTGCCCTGCTTGGATAGCACAGTCTTGCGGGGCCGCACATGGTCCAGCTGCGGGTCGTCTACCACCGCCTGGTTGTGGGAGATGAGCTGGGCAATGCGCTCCTCCAGTCTCTTCTTCTCCAGCTCCAGGCTGGATCCCGGTGTTCCCTGCTCTGCCCTGTTGCCTGCAGACCCGCCCCCAGGCCCTCCTTCCCCCTCAGACTCTGCACTGTGCTCCGACAGACTGTGCAAGGGGCTGGAGGCAACCGGAGGCTGCTCCACGCTGTCTGAGCGTGACAGGTAGCCCGAGTCTGTGCTCTCACACTTCCTCAGCTGGCCCTCCACAGCCTTGGAGTCCCAGGGCTTCTCTGAGCATGTCTCCTGCTGTCTCTGCAGGGAGGATGGCTTTGATTCTGGCAACTTCCGCCTATGCTGCGGGCTGACTAGTGGAAACTCGGGTGATACCATCTGGGGATGGTCCACAGGAGCCTCCTTGTGGGCAAGGTTGGCCCCTAGAGAGGGAGCCGCTTCTACCATCCTTTCCCTGTTCCTAGTAGCGAGGGTGGGGTGGGCTCCAGGGGAAAGAGCGCTCTCTGGCGCGCCTTCGTCCCCCCTGCTCTCCAGTGAGGCGGTCTCTCCAGACCTATCTCCATCCCCCAGAAGGCTGCTCCCACTTCCCTCAGACTCTAAAGACAGTCGAGAGTTGTTGAGATGTGTCTGTGTTCGTCTGTGTTTATAAAGGTTGCTCTGGGTCTTAAAGGCGATGCCACAGGTGGTGCATGGGAACGGTCTCTCCCCCGTGTGGGACCGGATGTGTTTCTCTAGCACACTGGGCTTCAAGCAGTCCCGGCCACAGTGCGGGCACAGGTACTTCCCAGCATTCTTCAGCCTGCCCGTGCTGACCAGTGTGGACCCCACACCCGGGGAGAGTACAGGCAGTGTGCCCACGATGTTCACGGTCAGGGCCGGGGTGGCTGGCTTGCCCATCTGGGTGGGACTGGGCCCTTCAGGCTGCAGCAAGGGACTGAGGATGAAAGGCACACTGGCCCCCTCCAGGCTGCCTGTCACCAGGGGCGCACGTGGTTGAAGGCCCCCAGGAGGTACCGTGTGGTATAGTGGGACGGGCAAGGCCTTTAGGAACACAGTTGGAGGCAGGCCCTGCTCTGGCGGCAGGATGACTGGACCCAGGGTCAGGCGAGGTGAGGCCTGCCCACCTGAGACCCCCGGAACACCAGGAGCAGGAGCTGACTGGTCGCTGGCAGGCGGGGTGGGGTGGGTAGGTTCTGAAGCCTCCATTCCTCATCACCTCTGCGGGCCAGGATTGGTGTCAACCTGTGAACGAGACCCACGCTTTACCACAGGTGTCTTTCTTCTCCCTCCCAGAAGGTGTTACAGTAGCCCTATAAGCCTCAACAACAAGCCTGCAGCAATCTTGTCCCCACGCTAAGAAAGGTGTTGCCAAAAAGTAAACCTAGCTACCCAAAAGACCGAGGCAGGAGGATTACAAATTCTAGCCCTGTTTGGATGACAGAGTGAGACCCTGTCTCCAAATAAAACATACAGAAAGGGTTGGGTGTGTAGCTCAGTGATAGAGCACTTGCCTGGCATGTAACAAGATTCTCAGCTGAATCCCAGTCTCTCTCTCTGTCTTTCTCTCTCTCTCTGTCTCTGTCTCTCTCTCTGTCTCTCTCTCTCTCTCTCTCTCTCTCTCTCTCACACACACACACACACATCACAATATACCCTACATATATACATATATACACACACCCTATATATATACATACATACACACCCTATATATACACATACACATATATACACACCCTATATATGCACATGCATACACATATATACACATACCCTATATATATATATATACATACATACATACACATATACACACACATACACACAAAGAAGTCACACACACCCACAGTGATCCACAGTGGCTACTCTAGCAGGTTCAAATCCCTTCCTTGCCTATGAGGATGTTTCTAGATCCGTGAAATGTCCAGATCCAGACCCTTCCCCCACTGTGGTTTTGAGCCATCAGTCAAGAGGACGACAGTGGGAACAAGAGCTGACCTTGGTGGAGGGCTTCCTAGATTAGGAAGCTAAAAATGCAGGAATCTAAGACAAACTTGAATATCAGAAAAATTGTGTATCATTCTTTTGACCCACAGAAGTATGGCTCAAAGAGTGCATGATGAATCTCACGGTATAAGCTTCTCCCCAAACACGATGGGTCTGTGTATGCTAAAACATTATGATCTTGTCACATTCTCTCATGAAGCTATAAGGAGCTCTCATCCAACCTCAGGATGAAGTTTAGGTCTCTACTCAAAGCCCTGCTACGAACAGTTGAGATTAAGTCAGTTGTCACTAGACCAGGAGGAGATAAACTAACACCAGGTCACATTATGTTCTGCAAGTCACGAAGGGCAAGTCAGAGACTGGAGGGAAATGTTAGGTGGGCCGGCGACAGCCACCCCTCACCTGAGTCTGTGTGAGCATGGTACCACCCTCCTGAGAGTTCCTCTGGGCACCCACAACCTCAGTCTTCTGAACGTTGTTGATGCCCCAAGCGGTTAAAGTGCTGGGGTGGCAGGGCCAGCCTGAGCCAGCACTGGCTTCAGAAAACCCACGCGAGGGCTTCAGGAAGCTTGCAAGCTAGCTTTACTTAAAATCAAATCGTGCCAGATAGGGTGCTATATGCCTGTGAGCCTGGCATCTGGGGGACCGAAGAGGGAAGATCAGGAATTCTGGGTCAACCTGGGCTAAATAACAAAGCCCTGATTTTAAAAATGGGGGGAAAAGAAATTATATAAATATGCTATGAAATAAATCATATTGAAAGAAAAGATACTACAACTACATATATTTTTTTTTCAAAGCTGGCATTACTGTGTGTGCATATGTACATTGTGTGCGGGAGCGGAGAGGTCAGAGGTGACTTTGAGGGATCAGTTCTGTCCTTCTACCTTCACGTGAGTCCCAGGATTAAACCGATGCTGGACTTTCACAGCAAACCCCATTACCTGCCAAGTATTACAACCTTAGGCTGTGTGTGTGTGTGTGTGTGTGTGTGTGTGTGTGTGTGTGCTAGATATATAACTGAAGCTGGCCTCTGCTTCATGCCATCTGAAAAAGAATAATTCAGAAACAGATCACAGGCATAAATGAAAGATCAAAAGCTGTAAGTCTCTTAGAAGATATGGAGTGAAATCTGGACTTTGCATTTGGCAAGAGCTCCAAGATATGATGCCAGAAGCACAGGCAGCAAAAGGAAAAGCAGGAAAAAAATCGACTCATTAAAACATCTGTGAATCAGAAACACTATCAAGAAAATGGAAGGCTGTGCAATGGAGAGCCTCAGGCTGAGGCGATGGCTCAGTTAGGGAGGTGTCTGCCATGTAGGCACCAGGACCTGAGCTTGGACACCCAGAACCTGTGCGAAAGCCAGGTGCATGGTACACCTGCCATCCCAGAGCTGGGAAGGCAGAGACTGGCAGATCCCTGGAGCTCGATGCCCATTCTAGCCAAATCAGTGAGCTCCACATTCAGTGAGAGGCTCTGTTGCAAATAATAAGACTGTGAGGGGCCAGCAATACCATTCAGAAGGCAAAGGTGCTTGCTGCCCAAGCTTGACGACCCAAGTTCGATCCCCAGAATGCACACAAAGGTAGAAAGAAAGAATTGACTCCACATGATTGTCTTCTGGTCTCCACACACACTCTCTGGCACATGTACACCGTACATGTAGTGTAGTTCCCAAGGGAAGGTAATCCCATGATACCCTCAAGAGGAGCAGGAAGGCTGAAGCGGTGACAGGTGCTGGGAGAAGAGACTCTTTGGTGGAGTTGCCTGTAACTTGTGCGTGAGCTCTAGTGAGGTGGCTCTCCCCCATGTGTCACCCATGCTGGGTTGGGCTTTTGATGGTGTGGCTGCCTTTAAGTCACTATGCTACTGTGGCCCCAATAAGCTCATTGGCTCATCAAGTTTTCTTTCATTTTGTCCTGTTTTGTTTTGAGATAAGGTCTTCAGTCTGACATTGAATATATATATATATATATATATATATATCAACCCCCCACCCACCCCGCCTTGGTCTCATGGGATGACAGGCATGTGCCACCATGCCCAACTTAATTCATTTTCTTCCTTCCTTCCTTCCTTTGTTAATATTGAGTTAAGGTCTTGCTGCATAGTCCAGGCTGGCCTGGAATCCACCATCCCCCTGTCTCAGCACTCTGGATGTTGGGATTACAGATGTGTGCCACCAGGACTGGTTGGATGAAACAGTCTACATAAAAACACAGAACGTTGTCTGCGCCTACCACGGATAAGAGTTTGATTCATTTGTGTTTTCAGTAACAAAGCATAATATTTTGAACTATTACCCAATGGTTCTTCCCACCCTTGTCTCTTCCTCTATCCCTCAGCCAAGCAGTCCCCACTCATTCCTGGGATGCGTCTCTAGTGTAGTTCCCAAGGGAAGGTAATCCCATGATACCCTCAAGAGGAGCAGGAAGGCTGAAGCAGAGGAGGCTGCCAAGTGTACGTCACCCCACAGGTCCTACTGTGGACAACCAAGGCGGACACCCTCAAATCTGGGGCTGGCTGCCTCGGATTGCCCTGGGCTGAAACTGTCACCTGGCACATGGGTCCTGCAGCAGGCTCTGGAGTCCCTCCTGCCTAGCAGGCAAGGCTGGCCTGGTTGGTTCTGAAATGATGTCCAAGGATTGATGTGTGAGGCTCCTATTGGAGTACTTGTGGCGGACTTGGAGTTCTGAGCCCTAATCCTAAGGAAGGAAGTGTAATGAGCAGAGACCGAGCGACTAACTAATGCTTCTCTGATAGTTTCAGTGGGTGGGTGGGGAGGAAGTAGAAGGGAGGAGAGCCAGAAGGAAGGGAGGAGTGCTTCCCACCTCAGCCTGCCTCATGGGGAGTTGAGAGAGAGGTAAGTGGGACCCCATGCCAGGCAGTTTGCACAGAGCAGCAAGTGTCCTGATGGGAAGAGGAAGGCAGCCCACAGAGTGCTCTGCTAGGGAATAACCCGCAGACCCCGCGTCCTCCCACAGAGCTGTATCCCTGCTGCTGAAGGGCGGGCTCTCAGCAGGTCCCCGGGGAGCTGAAGCCCAGTGACAGGTGGCTCCAGCAAACACGAGCCCATTACCAGGGAGAACAAAAACCGCAGCCAGAACTGCCTGTCGTGGGTAGGAGGCTCGGTTCTTTGAAATGCTGCAGACCCACCTGCCACCCTTACAGCTCTCTTTCTCAAGCCTGATCTGTAATTATAGCCGGTCCCTGCTGTGATCGAGTAAATGATACCCTCCTCTTGGGAGACAGGCCACTCCTGTCCCAGGCAAAGTTACACGGGACACAGCTGATTTTAACCAAGGAGGGACCAGTGACCCCTGTTGGACTGACAGTGATTGAGAGGAAGGAGGAGCAGGATCCAGAGTCCCTTGTCATCCCAACTGGCCCAGTGTCAAGTGTTCACCCTGTTGTCATGTTGAGGGCTGTCACACAGAAAACAGGACTCACACCCTTGTCCTGCCCACCGAGGATCATGGTCTCCAGTAGAAACACTTGGCTTTATGGAGGAGAGGTGGTCCAAGAGAAGGCATGTAGAAGAAAGATGATTTCCAAAGCTTTCAGTAGCAAAAGCAGCCCCCTCAGTGGGCCAGGGCAGAGAGGAAACTCAATGAAACAAGCCCCAGATGGATTTGCAGAATCCATAGTCAAGGTGAGATGCAAGAGAGGCAGCGGAGAAACCCACTGATGGAAGCGTGTTGGAAGGGACTGGATGCAGAGGTAGTAGCTTCTAAAACAACACTAGCTAATTCCAGCCCATATGTGTGCTCCAGTCACCGGCTCGGCCACTGGGTCAGCACTCTCGGCTTTGAAGTCTTTTCCTTCCTGCTTAAATCCCACTTTTGCCAGAAGACCCCTTTTAAGAAGGAATGGCATACCCAAGAGCGTGAACAGGATGCACCCTTTTTATGTTACATAGCATCTACCATGACTTTCAGGGACAAAAACTCATCCTTCCACAATGGGCTGGAAACTTGATGTTCACACAAAAACTGGCACCCAGATAATTAACGTTGGTTATTCATCACTGTGAAAAGCGGGGAGCGCCTGAGATGTCCTTCGGTGTGGGAAAGAATAAACAGACATTGTCACAGCCAGACAATAGAGCATTATTCATCCATAAGAAGAAATGAGCCATCAGGCTATGAAGAGGCACAAGGAACGGTGTATGATGCTAAGTGAAAGAAGCCACGCTCAACAGGCTGCTTCCTGCTGCAGACACTCTAGAACAA